GGGTAATTCTCGATTGTCACAAGGACTATCCTCTGAGAAGACTCGAACCGTAACCTTCAGGGTTCAAACTTATCTACTATTCAACGATTATGAAACAGTATCTGTTTGTGACCATTCGTGGAAGGGAGCTTCTTTGTGTCTATACACACTACTTAAGTGTGCACTACTCCTGATCAGAATTTGAGTGACCTACTGGTTCAAGATTTATGTCAGATATTCCTGTCTGGCCAAACCGCCTATCAGATTGTACTCTAACTTATTTCCTTTTGTCCTGAGTTCCTATTCTCGAATGACCGTTTGCCTTACAGGCTATGGACGAAAATTTGAAATTTAAATATTGTATATAGAGACGAGTCTGCTACAATAGAGTAGAACTGCCGTTCTGTGTCAAGAGAGCTTTAACCATCCATGCCACAAGAACAATATTCTTATCCATACGTTTCTCTGTTTCATTTATCCAGGGTTAGCACGATATTTTCTCCCTACTACAAATCGCTGTCTTTAATTCACGGAAAAAACAGAGCAAAATGTATTTGACATTTTTTTCAGGAAGAATAGTCATCTCTTTTCTGTTAATCTTCAGAGGAATTAGTAAGAAATAAATCTCAGCTGTCATGATCGACCATGGTGCTTTGCCTTAGCAATACGCAACAATTCATGGTCAAATTTCAGATTACCGTAGGGGATGGAGACCTTTCCGACGACGACAGTCAGGGCGTGAAGCTGACGCTGGACCAACTGCCGAAAAGCTACCCGAACGTAATAGAAAGCGGTCGTGTTCAGTTGCAAAGTGTTGAAATGATTCATCTCTCATAGTTTCCTTGGCAAGAGTTTTTTGACGTTGTGTATCCAGAGACAGGAGGACGGAATCGGTCGTCGATTCCCGTTTACATTTATGTTCAGTCGTACTTCGTTCGACTGAGCGAACTACTGCCACAGTTTGATGTCAGGTAAATGGTATGGGGCTGTGTTTGTGTTTGCAATTCATATCGATTTGCAGGACTGTTCAGAACTATATGTTTTGGCAGTTGTTCTACAACTCGTTCATGCAGTTTCTCCCTGAGCCGTTCGCCAATCTAAAGTTTGACTTTCTGCGCGCTCTTCAACGTGAGGGTCACATTGCAGCAATTTGGTTCAAACTGCTGACAGTTCGTTCTGTTCTTTCAGTGGCACACGCTCCTCGACCAAGATGGAACACGTGTCTCCGGTACGTGGACCTGTCACTGCCACATGCCACGGGGGCCTTGTACGCCAAAAGACATTTTGATCCAGTTGCACAACGCCACGTAACCACTCATCAAGTGCCTTGCTTACTATTAACTTACGCCAGCAGTTTTAGGCTACGAGAATGATCAAGGTTATAACCGAGTCGTTTAAGGAGCTACTGTTGGAAAATGATTGGCTTAGTGATGAGGCAAGAAGATTGGCCATTGAAAAGGTATTAAAATGTGTGTGTCACCTCTTCTTCTTGTGCACTGTTCTGACTTCACCTAGCAACATGTTTACTCAGGCTAAAATTATAGCAAATAATCATAGATAATTGTCAGTCACTTTAAACAAGAAACTTCTGTTCAAACATGCAGCGCTCGTTAACGGGACGCACGTCACATGACGCTTTCCTTATTGTTGCAGATGTGGTTTTACAAACTATAAGTGGTTTTTGGCAGAGACATTTTCTTTGTTCTGAAACGTTGGCGATATTAATGAAAACATATGTTTCCAACTTTTTAGCCACTTCCGTGTGAATGAGGTCACTAAATCAATGTTCATTGCCTGTAATTCGACTTCACAATGCCAGCGCAAATCCAAGGTTCCAACAGATCACATTATCAATTTCGACCCCTTTCATTGATCTAAGCTTTGATGATGCAAAGCATCTAAATTTTCTTTTCCCAGCCCCCATATAAGAAAATACACGCTTAAAACTGCGAAGAATACAGAGATAAACAGAGAGACAGAGTGAGAAAGATATATATGGTGAGAGTGAGAGAGAAAATGGCAGCTTACTTGGTGCGTCGTTACCACCTGTGGCCCATGCTCATTTGCGATCATCCATCTTCTCTAGTTTGATAAGGGGATCATGCGATTGAAAACTACTTGCTCTTTAAGCTTTATTAAAAATTACTTACTCACTTCGTTATTAATACTATTCGTTTTATCATCGTGGCATGTAGATTGAATTCTGCATCTTTGCTATTGATCCTACGATAAACAAGTAGTATATCTCCTTTGGTCCGGAAAATCCGGAGAATTTACATGAGAATGTACATCTGCTTAGCTATCATTTTTGACACGAATAATTAAAAATTTAGGTGAATGCGATATATCTCAAAATTGGATGCCCAAGCTTCATTTTTCACAATGACGAGTTGGATCAGCATTACCATTATGTGGAAGTTGTCAATGACAGTTTCTTCGAGACGAAGTTCCACCTTGAGTACGTCGAGAACGAAATATCACTGAATAAAATTAACACTTTTGTTAATAAATCCGAGTAAGCTAGTTCACAAAACGATTATTTTACGCTAGGCGCTATTTTATAATTGTTGTAGATGGTTTTCTGGCTGTTCGGTTGTCAACGCCTTCTACAGTCCAAACACGAATGAAATCAGTAAGTACTTATGTTCTCTAACTGCCTGTAAATTTTTATAACACTCAATCTCCACTATTCTAGCTAAATAACTCGGAATATTATCACTCTCTGATCTCACGTGCCAGCATGTGAGATAGTTGACTTCTAAGATTGAAAGTGCCTTGTACATTGTAAAATAACTGTACAACTTACTGGATCCTCGATATGCAGCTAAAACTTTTCCTTTCTTGCATACTGCTGTGGTTATGCGACTGCAACAATGCTTCCTACCCTCTTTGCATGCGATGCTCCAATTCCAGAATGGGTGGTATACATTTCGCAGAGCTGAACAACAATGTTGTTGACCAAACAACATCTGATAACATTCACATCGTAACTAATATCCTGAATGACGAAGCGAATTCTTCGCACGTAACCGCTTCACAATTTTGTCTTAGGTTCATTCAATCAATACCCAATACGTTTATATTTGCTGCCTCTCTTGGAGCTCCATCTGCGTTTCTTTATTCTGAATCAGCTCGCTTTTTCGCAAACTATGAAGGTACAAAGAAGCTATTGTCGATCTCGTAGGCTGTACACAGGTGTTTCTACTTGATTTCGTGTCAAATAGTGCTTTTCCCTTTTTTGGTTAATGCCGTTCCGTTTCTTTCACTGCTTCTAACTACGATGACTATAGTTACAGTACATCATGTCCATTTATTTAACTGCTGAAACATAGGCATATTTGTGGTAATGTTTAGGCAGCGATTATCAAACAAACAAAACTCCTGTCTAGTTCCCTTACCGTAGTTGTTCTTTTGATGAAATTAAATAAGACATTAAATTTATCGTTGCAATTTGTGCTGAGTTTTACTCAGTTATTGGGCGGGTCAATGCGAATGGTAGCAGGAAATCGCACGCGCTATACAACACGGTCGAAGGTCTTGCATGCCTTGGCATGACAATAACTAAACACCTTGCTATTGCAGGTCAAAGTCTTGCTACCAGTTTTAAAGCTGGTTGTACCGGAATACAGACGGTTCTTTGCTCAAAATAATTAACAATTAATAATAGAAATTTAAGGCGCAAGTGGGGCTTAAATCCGTTATCTCTAGAATAGTGAATGCTAAATCACTAACCCACAGCGCCATTGCTCCCCTCCTCACCTCCAGATGAAATTAAAAACCATAAAACAATTATAGCACTTTACGCAGGGCCTGCTATGCTCCCGTGGCCTGGACATGGCAGTTTCTGGAGGAAAACGTTACTGTGAAAAACTTGCTCATGGCAAACGCTCTTGTGATGAAAGCGGATCGACTCTAGCACTCGAAGAATGGGCATAGAAGAGTCAATACGTTACTGAAAGAGATTTTTGTCATGAACTTGGGTCGTGTCACCAGTTTGTATTTACAATAAAAAAAAATGTTGTCAGATCAGGCAGCGGGGCGCCTCATCTCCAAAGGCAGACCAATCCTCAAGCGGCTGACAGGATGGGCCCTCACCGCAGCAGACCCTCTTGATGGGCTGCTATTCAGTAATCACAGAACGATCGTTATAATCATTAATGCATGTTCAAATAAACCCTATCGACTTTGACTCCTTACATTGCATGCAGATTTTCTGACTGAGCAACATCAATATAATCCACGTACCTCAATGTTCAAGCCAAAGATATTAACTTCTGAACGTCTGTTGGCCCCTCGTTTGGAATGAAAGCAATTCAGATCCATAAACAGTAATCACCAAATTATCAGATGAGTCAATAAAGAAACAACTGGAATTGCAGTTTTGCATTGAATCATCCTTACATATTGCGTTACGTTTGAACTTAAAGTGTTGCGTTTTATTTCAGTATTTCCTGCAGCTATCTTGAAACCGGTATTCTATAGTGAAAGTTATCCGTGGGCCATGAACTTTGGAGGCATTGGAGTGGTGATAGGGCACGAAATCACTCATGGCTTTGATGATCGAGGTCAATGAACACGGTTCAACGATTTTCGGCCTTTTCAGTAGCTTTGATTTCAGGAAGACAGTATGACAAAGACGGAAATCTCCGAGAATGGTGGGACAATAAAACAATCGAACAGTTCAATCAGAAAACGAAATGTATTGAGCGACAGTATTCAAAGTATAGAGCGAAGCAGATCAATACAACGGTATAAGAGCTTGAATAAGCAATCTGTAGAATCACTCTGATTTTCAGGTAAACGGACGAATCACGAAGGGGGAAAACATAGCTGACAACGGCGGACTGAAACAAGCATTTCGAGTAAGTTTCGTATGCTATCTTAAAGTGTGACTGTTTAACTTGTTATTTCGTCTGAAGGCTTATAAAAAGTGGGTCTCCATGTACGGATATGGTCACTCGTTGCCCGGAGTTAATTTTACCCAGGACCAGCTGTTCTTCATCAACTATGCCCAAGTAAGCTAAGCTAACACACTTGCGTTACTCGTTACTCACCGTGAAGAAAAGGTTTGGTGCGGTTCAGTAAATGACCAGGAGCTGTTACGGCGGATGAAGACCTCAATACACAGTCCAGGACCGATAAGGTAATGCAGAGCAGAGGATTTGAGCCTAATGCACGGTTTTCGTTTTGCATAATCTCACGGTGGACAGCCATTATGCTCCACTGTCGGTGAATCCGTATAGCTGTTGATTTAAAATATTTTCATTGTGATCTTATGTAATGCTTTATAAGAACTTGGTGATCGATTCGCAATTGAACTCTTTTAAGCGCAACCACTTATGAGGGATTGATGGCAAGACCTAGTTCATTGACTTTTACAGTTCCATTTACGAAATCCTGAACTCTTCTGAGCCTTCTGCTGCTCCCTCCTAGTTGCTGCTCTAAATCGAGGAGCGGATTCTTTGATCGATAAAGTGATAACTAATGGCTGCGATTGTGAACGACGTTCCCAGACGAATGGCTCTAACGCAGTTTTTCAAAGAAGTAGGGTTTCACGTTTATGACTATCGGTTAGGAGCAGAGTAGTACAGTTGCAAATATCAGCGTCAAAATGAGGTTTCTCAGAGGCATGTTTAGTCTGAGCTGTTTCAAGCCAAACAGGAAAACTCAATACCTTCCTTGTCACTCACTCTTTATCCAGATTAAGAGATCAAAATTACTATAATTTTCTCCAGTGGTCACGACACTAAAGGAGAAACTCGTAAACCTCTCTCTCTCACGCTCTCTAAGCTTTCACAACGCCATGAATGTAAGACTTTACCGAATCAGTTCTCACGTCGGCTTTCATGAGTATATCGAACGCAATCCGATCTATTAAGCTTGCCTGACTACAGGAAAACCGAGGCCATAGAAAAAATTTTCTGAATTTCTGTCAGTCTAAATCTTAAGAGACAAGTATTGACGAGTTCTTACTGAGACCTTAGAAATGGAGTTATGGCGATGATGGATGGTGGAAACTTCTGAGGAGGACTTTCTCTTGAGCACCACCTTCCATCACATCAACCCAGTCTCTAGTAGACAGTAAATTTTTTTGCATATGCCATAAGCTGCCAGATGAAAGCAAGTCGACTGCATCCATCCTCAAATCGGAACATTTGAGTGACAAAAATTTCCATTTTCACGAATGTTCAGATTCCCATTACCTCAGTTTCGTCTCCTTTAGTTCCGTAAAGTGCCTTGTCAGTGTTTCAGAGTTCATGCCAGTTTGCATTACAATAATCTGTGCATACTGTACGAATTTCAGCGGTTGAATTATAGCGAAGAATAGACAGTATGTCAATACTATAGTAAAACAGTGTTTATGTATCCATATATACTGAAGAAGATCTCTCTTTCGACAATATGTGCATGAAGGAGGTTCAGAAATGAAAAACATGATTTAGGTAGCTACATCAGAGGCATCAGCCACAACGCTCATCATCAGAACAGACATCTGTGCATAACCACTGAATATTTCTGAAACTTTTGTTGTGCTTATAACGGAATACAGCATTAAAGCAGTTTAATCATATACAATGCAAAACAGTTGAGTTATTGCGTGGTGGATAACTACCGATGTCTAAGACCTAGTTCGAGTACAGCTAGTGAAATTTGGTGGTGTAAGAATTGCAGCAGCAGCATTATGTCGAACGGTAAGTGGAACTCTCGATCCATGCTGGTGCACTGACCGCTTTGCGTTGTGTATGATCAAATCGTGATGATGTTGTGATTCAATACGGATATCACCGTACGAACAATTAGTCCATCTTCGTGCCACGACTATTATAATATAAATCAATGTTAATATAAATCGAAATATGCATCAGGGTTACACCTTGTACTGATTATCGTGCAGATAATCAGCTAGCTGGATGAAGTCAAGGCGAAGGGATGCTAGCATCGCACAGCATAGTCGTACCTCATCCATTCTGGCATTACCGACCAGACAAGAGTGCCATGATGTCCGTATTTTTGGCAAGTTTCCAAACTGCTATGTGTTTCTCTGCTGCTTGCACTGTAGCAGCGTGCGATTAATTCCTTTGGAAAGGGAATTCGGATCTGAGACAAAGACTTGAACGGATTCGCACTTGATATGTCCAGAGTTCAAAGCTGATCTCTGTCATTGTGCCATCAGGCCCAAATGGGTAAATTATTCTTTCTAAGAGGAATTCTTTGTTAAGTTCACTGGTGCTGGAGGAATAGAAATTATAAAAAATGTGTTTGTATCTTGTATAAAATAAAATTCACTCACATCAGATATTTTTTGTTAATCGCTTGGACATAATCAAAAACGTTTGATAAACATGAAAAGTTTAAGAATACTATTTTAACATTTAGGGTTTACGGTCCTCTTTCCAATTCAGCAGATTTCGCTAATTCTTTTCGCTGTCCGAAAGGAAGTCCAATGAATCCGGACATAAGTGAAAAGTGTGAAGTATGGTGAACTTCCAAATCAGCATTTGTACATCTTGAATGTATACAGAGTGTTCGTTGAATGTGAATTGTTTCAAAATGATAAACTCGTGAAATACGATTATATCAGTGGTTGGTGTAGTGAAAGGTTTATCACTGAAATTAGCTGGAAGGACATTGTGCAGCTGCCAGTTATCATCAGCGGCAGAATTGGTTCTAAAGGCGAAGCAAGATGAGAGGCATGCGTGACACCATAAATTTTAAAATAGCAGGCATCTGGCTGAACGAAGAGGTAATTCGTTTGATATCTAAAGTAAAATTTCAGCTCACTTGTAATTCATTCACTGATTCATTCATTCATTGCTTCATACTTTCATTCATTCATTCTGAGATCCAGTGTTCATTTCAAGTTTCGAAAGCTTCTAAAGCACAGTTTCAAGGAAGTTTTCCTGTAGTAACATTTGTTTTGCCAGTTGGCAAACTTCATGCAATGGATTCCAAGGGGCGGCAGTGTCAGACATTTATGACATATTCACGTCATCTTGCCGTCGGTGTGTTACTTGCCGCTTCATTTTTATTTTTACAAAAAAGATCCTTCTTCCGAATCATTTCCCAAACCGACACCATTCGTAGTCAAAAATTTTGGAATGCTTATTGATTAAATAAGGTCCCCACAAATGTTTGCTTCTTTTTACAAATAAGAACTTATATCTGAAGCTTAAAGATGCAAATAGACAGTATTAACGTAACAGGCAATCATCAAGAATTACGTTCTTAGTGAAGACTGCCTGACCATTTTACATATTGCACAGAGTCAGATGATTTAAGGATTTAAAATGAAGCATTATTTGCCATCATGTACATGGGAAGCCTCCTTTATCGAGAGCTTTAACATAGTGTGTCTGACAGTTACTGTCATTTCAGCACTGATGGTTTAGCAGTTGCTCAAAAAAATATATGAAGAAATATGCTGATATGCTAAATACAATGGATCCCAATAGCTTTTCCTCCAGCTGTCCATTGTCCGACTCGTTTTCGTTTTGGGTGCCCCGTGAACGCGTCGATGACCTGTATTTTCCGTTGTTCCTTGTTTTGCGTTTTCTGCCTCCGCTGCTGACCAACTAGTTTAAACATCGAATCGTCACAGCATTTTCTCAGACCACCGAAAGGACGTTCGTAATCAGAGCAACCTGGGTTGTAAATCTTGAAGGCCGCCGGTTGTCTCTCAGACGAACCCTGTCAGGTAGCCAGCTCATTTTTTCCTGCGTCGTTGAAGGGATCATTTCTCTTAATTCAGTCCCTTGTCAAACTTGTGCGCTGAGAACGTGATCCCGTTTGCTCCATCTCACTTTCTGTGATAATCAGTTTCTTCTCATCAGATTTAGTAGCAGACCAATGATCAACGCCATAGGGCATGGTGGATATGAGGTCTTGTAGCTGTACAGTCATGAATTGGGCTGTTAAAGACTGATTGCGGCAGTTATTATTGTGTTAAAGTTGATGGATCATAGCCCCTTACTGGCTGTGAAATACTCTTGGTCAACTTCACTTATGATATACTTGCCTGTTCCTTTAAAAAATGATCAATTCCTAAACATATATAATCACTGTTTTTTTTGCTTTATGTGAAATTTACTTGCTTGAGTCTATTTCATTTTTTGCCATCTTGCAGCTTCTCATTTGTTCAATTTGTGATGAAGCAATATTCGAACTATATATCACTGTGATCATGTGATCGTTCGCACGTTGCCAGTTTAATTAGACGGGAATCTTCTTTCAAAACGTCTTAAGAAATCCCTGATTATTTAATCTACCCTACCCTGATTACTGGTCTACTCTTTGCTCCTTGTCTCGCTGTGCGCTTCAGCAGTAGAATATTAGAATATGTCTTATATAAAACATTCATTTTTTGCTTGGAGCTTCATATTTTTAATTTTGTTGCTACTAACCACTAGTTCGTTCTTTCCATGTCATGCTTGCAACGTAGCTGTAGACTCTGCCTTTAAAACAAAGCAGTACTTGTCGATGGCATAAAAACGGAGGTCAGCGCTGCACCACAAACTTCATGAAAAGAAGAACGGTACAATTAGACCCTAGTAATGAGAGTGTTAGGCAAGCCGACGTCCCAACAGTTATAAACATATTTTCTTTTCAGAGCAGCTCATGTTTCTATGTTCAGTTGCACCATTTCTTTCCATGTGAGTATAATATTTCTTTAACAACGAATAACACCTAACAGATAGTTTTTTTATTGGTGTCTCTAGCCGACATGTCTGGAAGAAGTTTCTGAAAGCTGAATTTTGGTTTAACAAAACGCTGCATAAAATTTGCGTTTTCTCTCCACAATTCAACCTCACCCCCTCCACACCTCGATGTCTGAGAAAGCTATTTATGCCCTTAGCATAAATCTTTTAAAGTGGAGGCATATCTGATCGCCATGGATATGATGGAGGCCTTCCATAGAAATAGTTTATGAAAGCGTAATGGCGATCCAGGGACATAAGGAAGGACGATCAGGACATTGTCTCATGGATCATCAAGAAATGGAAAGAAAATAAGCCGCATAATTGCTTTGAGAGTTAAGACCTGAAATATATTACACAGTACTGTTTTCATAAGCTGAAATTCGTGTTGCCTTGCTTTGGACAGATGATTT